AGCTTATAATGATATAAATGAAAGAAAATTATATTTTCTAGAAAAAGAATAATATATGGTAACGAAAATTTTGTACTTTCAAGTGAGAGCTTCTGCTTTTAAGTTATGAAAAACTTCAGTTTTATAAAAAAATAAATTTTAGAGGTGTATGGCTTGGCTTCAACTTTTGAAATATAAAACTTCTAAAATTCGAGTCAAACATAGTCGTACTCTTTTGGCTTTTTTTTGTTTAAGATAATCATGGTTCTCCTTTATGAAATTTTTGGAATGATTGCAGGTTTGACTAGGTTCAACTCGCATTGGTCGGGTCAAATTAGGTTGGATACCCATAGATTTGGGTTCAATTGTCTTTCTCAAACAAAAGGAAAAGCGAAATGAAAAACACTAAAGCTAAAACTCACTACTAACTCAAATCTCGTCAACACCAAGTTCAACTCGCTTTAACACATGACATAGCGCCAATTACAAAAACAGATAAAACTCGCTCCCGTGAAAAACCTATAAAATTGGTTAAAGTCGCTTCGGGTCAAATTAGGTTGGATACTCATGCGTATGTACTCAATTGTCATTCTCAACCAAAAGGAAAAGGTAAAAAAAAAAAATTACTAAGGCAGATAAAACTCGCTCACGACACCAACTCTCAACATTGCGTTCAACTCGCTTTGACCGGGTCGACCCAGTTTTAACAAATTCACAATTCATCCAACCTGTAAATTACAAAAGTGGCTAAAACTTGCTCTAGATATGAAACGCATTAACAATGGTTCGGAATTTAATTGTCATTCTCAAAGAAAAGAAAATTGAGAAATAAAAAAATATTAAAGCATATAAAATCGGTCTAAAACTGGTCAGCAACGTGTTCAACTCGCTTTGACCAATTTTTTAACAAATTAACACTTGGTCCAACCTGCCAACTACAAAAAGCGGATAAAGCTAGCTCACAGTATAACACTCGTCAATACCTTAGATTCAGGTTCAATTATATTCCCAAACAAAAGAAAAAAAGAGAAATTTATAAATACTAAAGTCGGTTTCAAGTTAGGATACTCATGTGTTTGAGTTCAATTGTGATCATGCTCAACAAAATGAAAAAGGAGAGAAAAAACACTAAAGAGGATGAAACTCGGTCCCGATACAAAATTCATGGTAGCGGCCATGGGAAACGGTGGTGGAAAACAACTTAGGATTCCGCCGACAGTATTTCAAGATGGGCTGTGAAATGGTGGGCAAAGGCAATGATTTGTGCAAAAAGCCATAGACGTAAAACCTAGTGGATAGCTGCTGCAATTGGGAGCTGAAAACCTAGTAGGCAATAATTGTTATGGGAAACACAATGGAAAATAGATGTAAACCTAGCGAACAATAAAACACAAAGGTTGTAGAATGGAGAGTTGGGTAAAAGGACTTGGAACTTCTCCACTTGCACTTGGAGAAGTGTGAAAGCCGCTAATGAATAGTAAATATTAGGTTTTAATATATTAATTAAGGGCTAAATTACACATTTGGTCACTCAAATTATATAAATCTTTCACGTTTGACACCCTAATTACTTTTCTTTCATATTCGCCACTAACTTTACGAATTGTTTCACCGTTAGTCACCGGCCGTTAATCTCCGTCAGATTCCGTTAACTCTGTTAACTGTTTGATGATGTGGCAAACAGAACTACTGAATGGGCTCACAAAAAGGCTGAGTCATACAAATTGACCGCCTAGTCAGCCTCATCCAATCAAATTAACCAAAACTTAATATTTAATTTTTCTACATTTTCATAAGAGCTAAAAAGAAAAAAATTAAATCACAATCTTCTCATCCCTTCTTTCGTCTTACCCTTCCACTTCTCCTTCTCCTCCACTCGCCGCCGTCCGAATCATCTGAAAGAAATCCCCAAACCCTCGAGACCTCCTCTAAGCCTTCCTATGTTCTTAGTCCAGGAAGCGCCACTCCGTCGCCGTCTTGATCGAGGGCAACAACATCAAGCTCGCCTCTGCCAGATCCGAGAGCGTTACCGCTAGCTGTGGATCTCGCAATTGTAACTGGTGTTGAGGATCTCGTCATATCCCCCGCAGCCGCAGCCGCTGCTTCCTTATGTGAAGCTATCTTCCCTCGCATGCCCCATCCATCCGAGCTTAGGCAGCATCCGTCTCGCTTCCGTCTCCCTAGCCGGCAATCGCCTCGATGGCTCAATCCCTCCTTCATTGTTGACCCTCCAAACCTCCACCTCATCTTGAAATTCCCTTACCGGAACCATCTTCGTCCCTATATCACCAGTCCTGCATTGGTACAGTCTATCGACCCCAGCCACAACTTGCTATCCGACCAAATCCCTTCCTTTTCTATCATCATCACCCCTTTTTTCCGTGTCCAATTCGTCGTCTACTGTGGAGGCGGATGAGTCGTCGTGGTTGAGATTGAATTTGAGGACGGCGGAGGAAGGGGATGGGTTTTGGTTGTGGGCAACAGAGGTTGTTGGTGGCGAGTGGCAACGACGGATCGTCTCCGCCCCTCTTTCTCTCTGACCCGGATCCCCGATTCCCCAATTCGAAAGACGCGAATTCTGAGAGCGAACGGTGTTCCGAGGCGGAGGATGGCGGCAATTGGTTCAAGGGTGCGGGATTATTTGGCCTCCGTAACTACATGAGGCTGCTTAGACCCGTCGATAGTTGTAGCCGGCGGGGTAGTGGAAGGCGATGGCTCGGTCGGCGATGGATGGAAGAGGAAAGGGAATTTAAAAATTGTACTGTTAATTGGGTTGGTGAGGCTGACCAGGAGGTCAAAATTTTAAAAAAAATTACATGTCACTAAGTTAACAGTCCAGTCAGCATTTCTGTTTGCCACATCATCAAAAAACTTACGGAGTTAACGGTGTCTAACGGAAACTAACGATCGATGACCAATGGTGAAACAATTTGTAAAGTTAGTGGTGAATAAGAAAAAAAAGTAATTCGGGTGGCAAACGTGAAATATTTATGTAATTCGAGTGACCAAACGTGTAATTTAGCCTATTAATTAATAACTAATGATTCTGATTTTCAGGTTCACATTCCCCTGTTTGGCTTTTCTATCCTAGCTGTTTGCTAATTTTTGTTGATTTCTCTTATTGGAGCAGCCGAAACCACATCCAGCTTCTGAAGAATTATTGTTATTTTCGAGTGGGATCTATTGTCCTCTCCATCAAAGTTAAAAAGACCCCTGAAGAAATATAAAGAGCATGGTTGGTTCTCTTCCAAGTTTATTTCAATTCCTTTGTTGCATGTGTGTTCATCTCTAAGCTAGGTTATGAACTCCCCTTTCAATTGGAGTGTCAAACTTTCAGCCCAATGAGTTAAGTTATATGATTATATTTTTTCTTTTTCCTTCTACAGATGAACAATTGTCTTTACCCTGAATGTACTGCAGACTAGATTCACTTGTAACTAAGGATTTGTTTACAACAACTTTACATAAGTTGTATGCAATGCAGTTTGTAGTTGGTGACAGATTGTACAAAGAGTCTGATTGATCATATTTATGAAATAAATCCTCTTTTTTTTCATTGAAAAATATATCTACCACAATCATAGGTTTTTCTGGTGACTATTGATTAGTATTCATTACCTGATTTACCTGTGATTAGTAAGGACCAACAATCACGGGTCCCAGGGACCATTAAAACAAAACCCCGTGACAAATAATCCAATAAGTCACGGAAAATGCCGTAACTATTTTCATGACTGAGTCACGGTAATGTTCCCGTGTTAAATATTATTCATGGGAATTACAATGGCAAAATAGATCTTCTGTCATGGGATTTCTCCCGTTATTGTATATTTTCTATCATAGGATTTATCCATGATATTTTACCTTTGATCACAAGCATGCTTGACAAGGGAATATATCGTGACAAATGCTTTCGGTTACGGGAATTGGATGTTCAGTCACGGGAAATCCAGTGATCGAAGGTGAATTTTCCTGTAGTGAACAAATATGGTTTGCATATGTCACTTGTACAAAAAGGCCACTTCCCATTGTATTTGATGTGAAAGTACATAAGGGCAGCATTCCTCTCACATCCATCCAAATGTGGACATCAAAATATAATAAATATAATAAGGAGGTTTCAAACAAATACGATTAATAATCCAACACTCTGAACATTACATTTTCTAAACAACCTTTAGGGTATGAAAACCTACATAACTAACAAACTAACCATTCATGGAAACAAAATCTAGGATAACATCACTTGAAAGATGAGATTCCTAAAGACCTTGAAATTAGTTGCCTAAACAAGAAAATGGCAGCTAGGTTGCCATTTTATCCTCGATTCTATTGATAGCTTCTGGATTGGTGAGGTCCTCCATCGACAGAACATCTCCAGCTTAGCCTTCAAGTAGAAAATATTCGTACATTTCTGTTTGATCTGGGTCCAATAAAAAATGGTGAATGAGGTACCATTTTGGGCATTTGGTTGACTAAATTTCATGCCATTTTGGGATTGAGCTTCAATCTTCATTATTTACTTCCAACACATGGACCTTGATGTCTCCCACTCATACAAGTTGGTCCAGTAGAATACTTGACTTGAAAACACATAAAATAGTACCCAAGGGACATCAAAATAGTAAAATTAGTCGTAGGAGCTACTACACATTGAAGCAATTGTCCACCAATTTCAAAATGATGCAAAACATGTCATTAATTAATTGGGTAGCCCACTTAGTAGTTGGAAAGACACTTTCTTTGTATCCGGCTACATGTCACTCTTTTGATTTCCTTTCCTGGTTATATGCCATAATGTAATTTATATTCGATCTCTTCCTAATCAAAATAAAATTATCTTTCGTAAAAATAAAAATTGGGGTCTAAAATAATATCATTTACGTGTCATTAGTTGGTTTTGAAATGCATTGTCAAAATAATAGTAAAAATAGGAAGAAACGACATTTATATCCTTAATTCTTCCTCATCTTAACTCTTCAAATTTTTCCCACCCAGGTTTCCTTTCTTATTTTCTCCACAAAAAAACATAATCGGGGAGCAAAAGGCCGAAAAATATTTTGACATGCCATTCTCATTCTCCCTCCCTAATGATTCTTTCCTGAAACCATATTTTTTCAATCCTGTTTCCAATCTTCATTTTCCTCTGTTAAAAATCCCAAAGCCACCCTCCCTGACGCCGCTTGCTCCTCTTCCTCCTCCCTAATGTGATTAGAGGTTAGATTCTCATTCTTCTATGCCCTATTGCATTCAAATTTTAACTTCCCTTTATAATATAGCTTTTTTGTTTATGGGAATGTCTCTGTCAAAATTTTAGAAAGGTTGTTTGGTCTCGGATAGGTACCTTCATACAAAAATTTTGTATTTTATTATGGGTTTTGATCATTTTGACTATAACTATAGAGGAGGCGAGAAGAACCCAACTCATAAGACATACCCCCAAGCACAATGTTGATTAATTATGCAACATCCCATGAATTATGGTTGTTAATGTTGTCTCCATTACGGAGAAGAAAGGCTATTAGAGGTTAAAATGATAAGAGGAGAATATGGTTTGCTTTGAATCATTCTCGTCTTAATTTTATCAAAGCTTCCCCCTATTGGTTGGAATTTTGATTAAAATGGGGTGAGTATTGAATGTTCAAAGCTTTCTGAGATCGAAGAAGAGTAGGCAATGCTTTCCCTCACGTTCACAAAGTAAAACCTCTCACTTGCATTAATACACTTGTTCATCTCTATGCCAGAGAGTTTTTTTTTATAATTAATCATTGAAAATTTTCAAATAGGTATGACATTAAGGGTAAATATGGGCTTCATTCTGATGAGTTGCTAGCATGGCCATATTTTCTCATTTTGCCTATGAAATTGAGTATAGACTAGACTAATTATAATGCACTTATTTTATGAACCAATAACACAAAGCTGGTTGTGATTTGTTTTTATTATAAACAATTAATAGTTTCCTCATATTCCATGTTTAGGTTGATGAGGATCAAGTTTATGGAGGAGAAAAGAAGGTTGGTGACGAGTTGGAATGGTTACATAATTCTGGTCATATTTTCTCTCAGTTAGCTCCATGTTTTGGTGAGTAATATTGGGCACCATAGCTAAAGTGATTGTTATAATGTCAGTTTAGTTGAATTTGACTTATTTCAACACTACATTTAAGATTTATTCAATCCTTAAGATCTTCTATCAATATGAGACGAAGAAGACGATTCTAAGTTCAAACTCGTGAAAGCTAATCTCACCTTGTTGTAATAAATTTTTTGTTGTTATACATTTTTAAGTCTACTATTTAATAATATGATCTTATTTCACTTATCAGTTTGTGGTGATATTAGCAAATGCTATGGTTGGTCCTCGAGTATGGCTAGGAGGGATATTTAATCGCTTCACCAGACGTACTGAAAAATTCCCTAATGACAATCCACATCTGGTAAATATAAATAGATAGTGATATTATAAATTTTGATATTTTTTGCCACATAAATTCTTTTCATTAATTTTTTTTAATAACTTCTTATGACAAATACTTTTTGAGTTAGTGTACTTGATATTTCTGGCATTAACATGATTTTTCTTTACTGATAGGAACAAAGACTCACACGACTTCAACATCGAGTGAAAACATCTTTTGATGAAACCCGTCGTGATCATCAAGTATATGTTTCATTCATCGTCTATCATTCTTCTCTCTAGCCATTTTATTTGGCCTGCCTATTTTATAGATTTTGAAATTGTTCAATGCGAACCGGATGAAATCAGATTAGACATATTCCGAATATATCTCGATTTCATATATTTTATGAAAGATAAAGAGGAAAAAAAGTAGAAAGCAAAATAAGATTGCATTGGATGCACTTTTCATTTGACTCTGGTCATTACTCTATTTACTCAGTATTATGTTGATGATTCAATCTGATTCTTGAACATATAGTACTATGCATGATCCTGACCTAAATGTTTATCTATAAATTCTAAGGCCATGTTCACTTTCATTTTCGTTTCCTGTTTTCTGTTTTCATGTTCTAAATTTGGCAACCCAAACGAGAAAACTTGTTTACTTTTCATTCTGTTTTCTATTCGTTTCCAACTATGAAAACAGAAAGTGACAACTTCCTACTGTTTTTGGAAACGACAAAATATTGTTTTCACCTGTTTTCAACATATGTTTTCTCAAAAACCGCCCTGAGCTTTTATCTCATTCCCATTCTCTTTGTGCAGGAGGCCCTAAAGTCATTGTGGAGTACAGCCTTCCCAGATGTTCCTTTGACTGGATTGATCTCGGAGCAGTGGAAAGAAATGGGATGGCAAGGTCATAACCCATCAACTGATTTTAGGTAATTTAACCATTAAGGACAAAAAATTATGGATTTCCAACTTACATTCAACAATTTCCTTTTGGAGATGTTGTAGTTTATCTTCTTGGTTGATTCTCTTGTGTAATATTTCTTAGGGGATGCGGCTTTATTGCACTAGAGAATTTGCTGTTTTTTGCTAGGACTTATCCGGTATGCCTCCTTTGAGCCTAAATTGATCTTTTAAGACCACGTACCCATCAATGATTATCTACTAATTGTATGCAAATACGGATGAAGGCATCTTTTCGCAGGTTATTGTTCAAACAGAATGGAGAGCGCGCAGAATGGGAATACCCATTTGCTGTGGCTGGAATTAATGTGTCATTTATGTTAATCCAAATGTTGGATTTGAACTCGGGTAATTGGAGATTATCACTCTTTTTCCAGTTTTTTTTTTTTTTATCATTTCCCTAACTACTAATTACTTGATTGTGTTTCTTATCTCTTAGAAAGACCGAAAACCCAACCTGGAATCAGTTTTCTTAAACTACTAGGAGGTAAAAAAAAAAAAAAACATTTTGGTCTCAAGAAATGATTCCTAAATTCTAAGTACTCTTTCTAACGCTACTGTCACTTGCTCATCAAAACTTTATGTTTCTAACAACTGTAGAAGATGAAACGGCTTTTGACGTCCTGTTCTGCATGACTTTCCAACTTATGGATGCTCAATGGCTCGCTATGCAAGCTTCTTACATGGAGTTCAACGTAAAAAAATTTAGTAATTTTATTCATATCTTAAAATGTGCATTCTATGCACTAAGACTAGGTTTTAAATTTGGGAGCATTTTGTTTGTTGTAGGAGGTTCTTGAAGCAACAAAGCAACAATTAGAAAGGGAGCTAGATATAGAAGATGTTCATCGGATAATAGACTTGCCGGCATACCTCCTATTGTATCAATAACATTGAATATTGTAACACTACACATGTGAGGTTCGAAAGAAAATGCACAAGAGAAACTAGAAGAAACATCCTAATATACGTAACCTATATTTAAGAGATTTTTCAAATTTAAGTAGCTTTTATACGAACAGAGACTATTATAAGTACTAGGTGGCGATGCCGCGTCTTGGCGCGGGGAAGATGGCGTATGTGCATGTATTATGTGATTTGTTAATTGTTATGATGTTTTAGTATTATTAGTCTAAATTAATTTTTTGTTAGCATTTTTGTTATTAATATTGACTTGACATTATGATATTGACTAAGAAGAGATATGTTGCGGTCAACATCCAATTTAAAAAATTTTAAAATTTTGACTAATAAATGATATTTACCTAAACCAAAGTAGACCCATTGATTATGGGTAGGGTATGGGTGACGTATATATGGGTTTGGAAGTTTGTAGATGAGTTTGGGTAGGGTGTGGATATTACTTCCATAATCTAAATGTGTATGAGTTGACTATGAATACCCATTTATTCGAGGGTATTTTAATTACACATACAAAAATTAGACCTATTTGTAGAACTTCAAAAGTTTAGGTAGCAATATGTGATACATAAATATTTTATGTACTAAAATGTAATGTTCCAACAATATTTTGAGGACTTATATGCCAAAAAAAATTATGTTATAAATCTAAATATATATTAAGTTTAGATACCGAACTTTAATTTGCATAGTTGAGGATTAATTCCTTTTATGGTGATGTATTTATAATGAAAATTATTTAATTTTTTTTATAGAAAAATGAAAACTATTTATTTGATATGTGTAGATACATAGTCAAACATTCCATGTAATTGTAGAAAATTCTAGCCTGGGTGAAAAAAGAAAAACTCGAGAGAGAAGCAAAATGAATACAAATTGGAACTCGATTAAAATTTCAAGCCTTCAAATACCATAGTGGAAAATGACGATTTTCTAATAAGTAATAACCATATATATGTGTTTTTACTTGGACTCAACATTGAGCTAAACAAATTAGTGGTTCATGGTTAAATTATTAATTCTATTGACTGTTGGTGAGTCGTATATGGACCCATTGATACTTGTGATTAGAATACATAAAAATAGTATACTAATTAGGGTTAGACAAAAAAAGCAAAGAAAGAAATAAAGAAAGGGCTGTGGAAGGCGAGTGAAAAATGAAACGAAAAGGAAGTAGATGATGGATAAGTTTTGACCAATTCTTTTAGTTGGCTGTCAATACAAAAGTCAACCCTTTTCACCATAAAAATGTATTGATACTTGCTTATTTAGATGTCTAGGGGTGTGCAATGGTCCAGTCCAGGATCAGACCGAGTATAATGCAATCTGGTCCTCGGTCCACATGAATTTTACAATTACTGAAGTAATGATGGATCGAACTGATATTTGGACTAGATCGAACTGAATTGAACCAAATGGACCGAATGCAATGATGGTTCAGTCCTTGGTCCTAAGATGTCTTTTCACTAATGGCCGGTTCGGACCGACCCAACAGTTGCACTCTCTTATATGTGTCGCATATTTTGGTACATGTAGTTAGTAGAAGTTTGTTTAGTACCCATAAATATACTTAATGAGTTTATAAATTCGCTCTTACAATATTTAGAGTCGACTCTCTTTTATCATTTATTAATATTTTACATAATGAGTAATTATAAAATGATCGAATCTTCTCCTACAATTGAGTGATACAACATCTTGTATGATAAAAACTAAATGTATACTTTTATGTTATGGTGGATTGGATTCATGTATTGGTTTAAAAGGATTGGTCGATTGGATCCATGGAGTCAAGCGAAATCTAAACATTGGACCAATATATAAATTTAAAATATTGTAGGTACCAAAATGTCATAAAATATAGTTATAAAAATATATTTATTCAATGATTTTATATTAAAATTAAATTTGGGGTATTAAAATGTAAAATGTTATAGGGACTCATTTGTAATTTGTTTTAGCAACACTAAAACTACTCTAGCTTTATATATAAGAACTAGGTGGTGATGTCGCGACTTGTCGCGGAGATGGCCTATGGGCATGTATTATGTGGCTCATTATGGGTGTTTTGTTAGTATTATTAGCCTAAAATTATTTTTTGTTAGCAGTTTTGTTAGTAATAATATTGACTTGAAAATATGATATTGACGGAGAATAGATATATGGCGGTAAACATCCAATTTAAAATTTTTGAAAATTTTGGCTAATAAATGATATTTACCTAAACCCAAGTAGACTCATTGATTATGTGTGACGTATATATGAGTTTGGATGTTTGTAGATGGGTTTGGGTAGGGTATGGATATTTACTTTCATAATCTAAAGATGTGTATGATGAGTATGGATGCCTATTTATTCAAGGGTGTTTTAATTATACATACAAAAATTATACCTATTTATAGAACTTCAAAAGTTCTGGTACTAAGATGTAAAAAAAAAAAATAGGTACTAAAATATAATATTTCATCAATATTTTGAGGACTTATATGTCAAAAAATAAATTTAGGTTACAAATCTAAAGATCTGTTAAGTATAGGTACCCAACTGCAATTTGCATAGTTGAAGCTTAATTCCTTATATGGTGATGTATTTAAGATGATAATAATTTACTTTTTTATAGAAAATAGAAAAAAATATATTTGATATCTATAATTGTTCAAAATTCCATGTATAATTGTTAAAAATTCTAGTTCTAGCCCGAGTGAAAAAGAAAAACTCTAGAGAGAAGCAAAAGGAATACAAACTGGAACTCACTTAAAATTTCATGTTTTCAAAGTTCAAATCTCATAGTGGAAAATGACGACTTTCTAATAAGTAATAGCCATATATTTTTTTTTAAATGGACTCAACATTGAGCTCAAAATGTTAGTGGTTCATGGTTCAATTATTAATTCTCTATATTGTTGGTCAGTCGTGTATGGACCCGTTCATATTTATGATTAGAATACATAAAAATAGTATGACTAATTAGAGTTAGACGAAGAAGGCACAGAATGAAATAAAGAAAGGGTTATGGAAGGCGAGTGAAAAATGAAACGAAGGGGAAGTAGACGATGGAAAGGTTTTGAGTTTTGACCAATTCTTTTAGTTGGCCGTCAATGCAATAGTCAACCCTTTTCACCTTAGCAATTTATTGACACTTGCTTATATAAATGTCTCATATTTTGTTACATGTAGTTAGTAGAAGTAATACCCCGTAAATTTACTAAATGAGTTAATAAATTTGCTCTTGCAATATTTTAGAATCGTCTCACTTTTATTTTATTTTTTAATGTTTCGCGTGATGAGCAAATATAAAATGGTCGAATCTTCTCCTACAGTTGAGTGATACAACATATTGTATGTATGGTACAAACTAAATTTATACTTTTATGTTAGACCATCTCCAACAACAAGGCTAAAATGCCAAATTTTGGGAAAAAGTCCCTCCAACAACCATGTTAAAATGCTTAAAAGCCAAAAAAATGGGAATTTTGTGGCTAAATTTGGCACACAAACGGACAAGAAGTGGGAAAAAATCCCAAACCCCACTTCCTCTCCTCGATGTACGTTCCATTCAATTAAAACACCATGAACACATGTAAACCCCCTCTAAACCCATAATTAAAACAAAATCAATCAAATTAAACCTATTTTTAATAATTGACCTGCATTAATACGTTATTGTTTGCATCTCTAGTCTTAATCCACCAATTATTGTATTTTCGTCACTAATGATATCATATTTAATAATGTATATTTTTTGTCAAAATTTAAAAAAAAATTACATCAAAATGTTTGTTCTAATTAATTATAAGTACCTGCATACAAAGAATCTACAAACTATCTAATTAAAATGATGAAATCTACACTAATCTATATTACCACAAAATAGAAGGTTTGGCATTTTAGCATTCCTTATTGGAACAAAACCCACTTTTGGGGTGCCAAAATGCCAAACCCCTTTAGCATTCTAGCATTTTCCCAGTTTGTAGATTCTTTGTAGCTGCATACAAAGAATCTACAAACTATCTAATTAAAATGATGAAATCTACACTAATCTATATTACCACAAAATAGAAGGTTTGGCATTTTAGCATTCCTTATTGGAACAAAACCCACTTTCGGGGTGCCAAAATGCCAAACCCCTTTAGCATTCTAGCATTTTCCCAATTTGTTGCCGGAGATGGTCTTATGGTGGATTGGATTCATGGATTTGTTTAAAAAGATTGGTCGATTTGATTCATGGATTCAAGTGAAATCTAAACATTGGACCAATATGTGTAAAAGTAAAAAAAATGTACTTACGAAAATCTTATAAAATTTAGATACCAAAACATAATTGTTCAAGAATTTTACATTAAAATTAAATTTGGTGTATCAAAATGTAAAATGTACATTCTAGTGACTAAGTTATAATTTAATAAAATTTGGGGTATCAAATTGTAATACTTTAGGCAACGGTAACTTGCCTTCAACTTCCCTTCTCCCTTCGGTTGAACATATGATAAACCTTTGTCCGAGTGACTTCGTTCCTTTAGCGGACAATTCAGAAGAAATGGTAAGATATGGGCAAGAGTTCTCACGGATCTCCCTATTACCGGGAAACCTACAGAAGTAAGAATGGGAAGAGTAAAATGGCCACAACTATACAATTGGGTGTTGGGTGCTCAGTGCTCTGTGATCGTTGTATGAACGTAGTGGAAATTTCGTAATTAAGAAGTAATGCATTCATCAAATGTCTGCAAAGCCCCCTACACCAGATTAGACAGCTTTGGGTGCTGTAAAGAAATTCGTACCAATGGTGTTGTAATTAGCAGTGTTGGATTCTATACAAGAGCCAATGGATGCAGGAAATGTGGAGCATCTAAACCCATTGACTCTAGAGAGGTACACTCCATGTATATATTGGTGTTTGACCAAATTTAAAACTTGCAGGGATTCTTCCTTTCTTAGCTCTTCCAAGGTGATTTCTCTTGCTAAAAATGCTTAAAACACTAATTTCTCACTCTAGATTGACTCTCCTTAATCAAGAGCTATTGTGAAATCTGGGATACGGGACGCTAGCCACGGCTTGGAAGGTGTCATTATCGCAATACAATGGTTAGAAGACAGGTCACCTCCACGTTATAGTTGTAGCCATGACCATGCCCTTAATGTGCAAAAATTCTTTGAATCTTTTATTCACCAAAATTCACGTGCTTCGAGATCCCAGTTGTTAACTCCAACTTGCGGCCATGATCTTTTCTCGTGC